TCATGTTATAATGTCTACGTAGGAAGTTAAACTTAGGTAATTCGTGCGGCACTGAGCGAGTCTCAAACGAAGATAGAAGAAGATGTCGTACAGACCGACTCGAATTGAGAACAAGAAACTCATCTCCGAATCGATTTAACCATAAAAACTACCCCTACCACCTTCCAACTGGATTCAATTGATCATTAATTTTGAATTCGCGTCATTATAAATAAAAAATGGGATAGTCTTCTCTTAGCGTAGACCTTTTCTAGCAATTTCTAATTTGAACCGAAATCGGAACTAAATTTTCTTTTTTTTCATTTTCTCACCTTTTTGTCCGGCAAGTCTTGACTTTATTAAAGCATTATGCGCTTAGAAAGTGTATCGATTAATATGTATGTAATACTTCACCGAAATCGTATTATTTTATCTCAAAATTCTCGATTAATTGACGATACAAACTGAAAGATAATTTTAATACCCCTAACTATCCATACTGATGGTCAGTGTGAATGTGAAAAGAAAGATCAATTAATCAAAATTACTTTCGAAAGCATGACGGCTACTTGTGCCATTGAAATTGATGATATTATAATAAAACACGTTTCTTAAAAGGATATTAAGTTGCAACTAATGCTCTCTGACTAATGAAAAGTGATAAATATACAACAGTTTTATCAGAGGCGTGAGGGTATGTTGATTAATTTTAATTTCAAAGACTATAAACCGTATACTCACATTATATATGATAATGTACATATTATGATTTCATATAAATATATTTATATGCACTTTTGCCAAAAATGTTCAAATTTTTCTCAAAAAAACCTTTCAAGTAGAGGAGCATTTTTTATCATCTCGTAAAGTGACAATAACAAGATAAAAATTGCATTTTGGCTCAGATACCATTTTTTTTTTCCTTCCTTCTGTGACCGTTGCTGTAAATGAGATAAATCAGCATTTCTCATATAACAGACATTTATTTAAAAAAATAAGCAAAAAAAAAAAAATACTCTCATGATGAAGTTATTACAATAAATTTCATATATTTTTTTCTTAATTTTTTATTAAAATTACTCTTTTATATGCTTGATTAATTAAGAAGATAACTTTTCTATTATTAAAAAAAGAATTGTAACAATAGAAGCAAAAAAACGTCTTTATGTCACAAAAATCGCTAATTTGAACTTAGTGTCATTACACGTATGTTATCATTTCGCTGTGAACGTTCCATTAACAATATTAATTAGATTCGCGCGTTAATAAAAATTTTTCAACAAATAGCATTTATTTTAGTAAAAAATTGTCCAGAAATGCATGATAAAGAATTGTATGATATTATGGGAAGCGTTCGGTCGGATCTGTGCAATGAATGCAATATTTGCAAAATATTAATAAAAGTTGGACAACACCAGCTGGTTTACAGCAAGTGCAAAGAACAATTGGAATTGCAAGGACAGTAGTATTTCCCGTCCATTAAGAATTTCTTTAATTATTCGGTGTAAAAATTGCGAGATTTTTTTCATTGTCTTCGGCTGAAAAGGAAAAAATGCAATTAACGAACGCGCGGTATGTGAATATGTAAAGAATTTTCGGTCGGGCATCTTGTTTGCAGTTGTTAAGTGATGATCCAGTAGGATAGGCAATTTAAGAAATTTGAAGAATTTGTAGACAATAGAGAGTGAAAGAGAAAGCAAATAGTAAAGTGTGCTGTGTAGTAAAAAAAATTTTAATATAAAATCATTTTTTTGCAATGTTTTTGTTTTTTTTTTTTTTTTGTTAATGGCCAGTCATAAAGCATCATTTCTTTTTAAAGGTAATTATTACAAGCAGAGTTTTATTCTCATTATTTTTGATTTTTACTTTCTCGTCATAGTAAGCAAGATATGTATGCAACCTTAAGGAAAGATAATAGGGCTCACGGCTCCTGTTATTATCTATGCCACCGAAAAAAAATATTTTTATTCAAAAGGGAATTATTTATATAACGTTACCCATCACTAATACATTTAAAACGATTTAAAACAGTTTCGTTTGTCTGATTGCCCGACTTCCTATCAGATTCCTATCGATTGTGTGATAAACCGGTAAAGTTTTTAATTTGTACGACTTCAATACTGACTAGTTGGCCGCGACTTGAATGAGAAGCGCTTGCGAATTCATTTTTTTGACGTCTCTTTCGACAATATAAAAAAAAAAAAAATGAAATGTAATCCTATATTCTTCCATTTTGTAGATAGAAATAACTAAACTGCATAAATGTCGAGATTTCCGACGAATAGTCCTCAAAATGTGAGCACTCGTTCAACTAACGTAGGATATTCGGTGTTTTTGCCATACGCGCGATCAGACGACTAACATGATATGACATTTGTAGGACCTTCGCGAAGAGTTTATGATCAAATTTAAGAAACGCTATGCTTGAGAAGTATCAATGTTTATGTATTCATTTATTTTACTACTACTACTACTACATTTATTTCGACCTATATATATATTTATACATTATTGATTGATATACACTCAGTCGTTTCGAGTTGCTTCTTAGCATAATGTTTAATAATTTATTTAAAATTTTTTGTAGTTACGACATACAAACTTATTCGCAGCGCAAATTTCTTCCTTGTTTATTAATCAATCGATTTTACGTTAAGCCAAACACTATAAAAAGAGAGAGAGAGAGAAAAGCAAGCACGTACATGGAGTTTCGCTTAAGACACAAGACTGAGTAAAAAGATTCATGGAAGCACACCCCACAGACACACACACATACACGCATATATATAACTTGAAGACATGAAATTGAGTTGTATTCTTAATCTCACTGCTCAATGATATTTGATCTACGTGAAAGTGAATTGACTTTCCATATAATATTCAGTCAGTATTTAATCCATTTGAAGATGAAATCGTTTCGCTTAAGACGTTTTTTAATTTTATTAACTTATGCTACTCATTTGATAGCTGAAGAAGAAGAAAATGTAAATAGAATTTATTTGAATCAGATTAAAGCTAATATGAATTTTAATGTGGACCCATGTGAAGATTTTTATGAATATGCCTGTGGCAATTGGTATCGTAATTATAATTCTTCTGATTATTATGACGCAGCCGGTTATATGGAATATAAAGTCAATAAACAATTACAAGAGATTTTGAATAAAGCAAAAAATGATGAGATCATTTATAATATCGCAAATAATGCGTACGAAGCATGTACTAATCTTGATACCATCTCAGTAAATCCGATGCTTCAATTGGTACAAGAAGATTTGCAATTCATTTGGCCAATATTTACGCAAAGTGCAGTTTGGCGTAATGACAACGAATTTGATTGGCTTAAAACTATGGCCATCCTAAGAACCTATGGCTTGAACGGAGTATTCTTAACAACGCACATTAACGTTCTATTTAACGATGGTAGTCAACGTATATTGGAGTTACAGCAACATCAATTAACCATGGAATTACTTTACTACGATATCGAGGAAATTTTTCTAAATTTTGGCTTTAATATTAGTCAAAGTCAACGGATTGCCAAGAATGTTATCGAATTTCAAGAAGAATTAAAAAATATTTCATTTTTGGACTATATACCTGAAAATTTTACAGCGAACATAACCTATCAAAGTAATTTTAGATTAATGACAATTCAGGAATTGCAAGAGGCGGTGCCTCATATTCAGTGGCATAAATATTTTGAAATTATTTTAAATCGTATAGAAAATATCGATGAATTACGAGTGCAGTGTTTCGCTTTCAATCCTGATTATTATGAAAATTTAAAATATTTATTGGATAAAACTTGGAAAGATACTATCGTACATTATATTATGCTCAGATTTATATATCATTTACATGAAAATTTACCACTTAAAAGACCACAAGAGTGTTTACGTTATTTAAGAAGCACTATACCGTTAATCATGAATGTTCTTTATGAAGAATATATCTTCGAATCACAACGTCTTGAAACCGAGCAAATTTTAAAGGAAATGTTTGAGAAATTGAAATGTAATTTTGAAAAAATGCTTCAAGAAAACTCTTTGCAATTAAATGAATCAGAGATGAAGTATATCCTAGAAGAATTATCAGGTATGGCTTTAAAATTAGGCAATGTCCCTGTGAATAGAACGAAAGAATACCTTCAACGTTATTACCGTGACTTATATAGAATTGCAATAAATAAAACAGATTTCGCTGGCAATCATCTTAAGTTTTTGAAATTTCGTCATACCAAAAGTTTCATAAAATTGGATCATTTCTCTTTAGCCGGTTTTTATGACTACGATCCAGAATCAATTGTATCATCTTCGCCGGTAAAACTATTTGATAATGTCGTACTCGTTCCTCATGGTTATTTACAAATGCCTTTTTTTCATCATAAATTAAAAAAACATTTACAATACTCCTTGCTAGGCTTTATATTGGCTCATGAAATAATTCATGCTTATGATCTTTATCACATAGTATACGATCATAAGAGTAATTATAATCATATGGGTTCTCTAGTAACTCAACACTTTTTACCTTATATAAATTGTAAATATGGAACAAAATCTTGGGATAATGTAACTGTATCCAATGATTTATTGTCCGAAAATATGGCTGACATTTCCGGTTTACGTTTAGCTTATCAGACATATATAGAAGCAATTGAAAATGAAATTTTCTCAAATTATTCTATTAATTTTCTAACAAATGAACAATTATTTTTTGTTAATTCCGTTCAATTTCTTTGTGCAAACATGTATGAAATATCTGCATTAAATTTAACTATTCCCGAAAGATCGCATGATATGCACGACATAAGGGTACGAGAGAATTGGAAGCATTTTGAAAATTTTGCTAAATCTTTTCATTGCAAACCGGAATCAAGTATGCATCCGTTGCAAAAATGTCGACTCTGGTGACTGTCATATTCCCCTATGCATCACCTACGTAAGATGACAAGTTCTTTTAGCTTTAGCTAGTACGTGTTTAAGTGTAATTCTTATAAATAAGTAATTGCAACTCACCTTAGCTTTTAGGCGCGCATTCATGCATAACTTTTATAATTATTCTATAAATAAAAGAAAAGGCAAAAAATTCGGTTTAAATAAATATTGCATATGACTTTTTGTCTTTGTGTTATTATTAGTCTTTATAAAAGAATTACATACATTTAGATATTCCAGTAAAATATATGTGTACGTGTGTGCGCTTAATTAATAAATCATTTTTGTTTGTACTTATTCAAAAAAAAATATAAAGTTTTCGCTTAACTAGTTTCTGCTCAAAATCAGAGACTTTTATAAGTTTTTGTTAATATACTACTGGCCTGGCTTTATGGAAATTGATTAAGCAAAAAGTTTGCAATTACATCTATGATTTAATTCACATAGTAATAAACACTTTCTTGGAACAATTTTCAATTGAATTGTGAGTTATAGACGAAAACTTGTAAAATTTGTTAGTGTTATCCAGAGGTTGTCTTAGGTTTTTTGAACACTATGGACGTGATATGTGAACAGATCATTTCCATTTTTCATTCTCACTTTTAAAATCGATTAGGGATTGTTTGTGCCAAATTTCAACTTCCTATCTTAGTTTTTGGGACTGTGACAATTCACAAAAATCATCCGTCAAGTTGGCCGGCTTTCGTAGAATCAGGTATAGAACATTCAAAAATAGCAAAGTAGGCGTGCCGCAGCGAAAGGGAGTGGACATGTTCGCTTGCATTGTAACATTATAAACTAATCTATATATATATATATATATATACATGTTAGGTGTTTGCAAAAATATTGATCAGCGACTTCTACAGGTAAAAGCGATAAATAAATGGGGAATACGAGTGCATATAACGGTTGAATTAGATTAGGTTTTGACCTTCCTTTAAGCAAAATAACAATTTTCCATTTAACATGAGGGATTTATTCAGCGTACGCCAACGGTCAAATCATGGAGCGCTCAAAATTCTTCTTCTTTCAAATTCATTACTTTTGTTGTTTATTTGAAGAAATCTGCTGCCGAAGCTCACCAAATAAGTTCAGAGATTTTTGGTGATGCTCTTCCACATCCTATTCCAAGTGTCGGCTTTGAAGTCAACACTTTAAATTGCCTGACAATGCCATTTTTTGGCCACTAGGCGCAAGAGTTGTCCAGCATACACTGTTGCACCTCAACAATAGAACGTTGTACCATACCCCAGTGTACTTATCAGGCATGGCGCCTCTTGGTTACAAGTGGTGGGCACGTGAATTCGCGAAGAGGGTCGCTGGGAAAGCAATATAAGTTCTTTTGATATGGTATCCTTGTGTTCCCAAAAATGTTGTAGAAAATGATGGAAGCTATTTTGATTAATATATCTTTTCAATCAATTCTTATCAATTTTTCACAATAAATAACTTTCTCAAGTGAAAAAGTGATCAACATTTTTGCAAACACCTAATATATATATATATATATATAACATTGGAAGATAGCCACTTACTGATGAGTGTAGTAAATCTAATGCCGTGGCTATAGGAATTAGATGATGGCCCATAAGAGTGCCTTTAATTATTTCTCCGCTCTTTAATTTCCCTCTTATCCGTCTGAGTAGCCGAACGCGAGGAATCTCGACTAATAAGTCAATGGTCGTGGGTTCGAATCCACTCAAGTGCGGTAGAGTTTTTAATAATAAAAGCCGATAGCCTTAGATGCTAGTGCTTTTAAGAGTTTAGTCTTAGAATTTATTTCTCGGGCGAAAATAATAATAATAATAAAAATAATAATTAATTTCCTTCTGTAATAGTGTAAGAATAAGTTCACTTTTAACTAAAGTATCATGTAAATCGGGGGATAGGTGTCGATATTAAATTGAAAAATTTACTTACTATTACTAATATACATGTATGATTTAATTTAATTTACTTTTTTTTAGTTTCTGTGCAAAATTGAAAAGTATAATGACGTCGTCATGTCATTTGTAACTAGGTAGGCTAATTATGCCATTCTCGAGCAAGTTCTAAAATAGAAAATTTTAATTTGGTTTTTTTTTTTTTTGAACTAATTCTACAGATTGTCTAAGGCTCTCACGTATCCGTGTATTGGCAATAATTTCAAAAATATCCACGAAAAGAAGAATATATGAAAAATATTTTCATTTGAAATCAATTAGCATAATATAGCTTCGGTTAGACTTGTTACAAGTTCGCAACTGTTTACCTTAGTTAGTCGATAGTTAGTCGTAAGGTAGGTGCAAAAATGACTATATTACATATAGATTTGTTGCAAATATATTTGCAATGTTTATAATTTCTTTGAATCATATCAATTATAGACAAGTTTATGGTTGAAAAATCAGACCACAAGGTATACATACATACAAACATACAATCACATAAAATGTATAGGAAAAGCAATCAAGTTATTAAAATAAAAAGAAAAGAAAAGAAAAGAAAAGAGAAAAAAAAAAAATAAATAAAACAATTAACTACAATTGAGTAATGACAGCAAAGAAATTCATAAGAGAAGGAAAAGGAAAAGCAAAAATTATGATTTAATTGACTTTTCTGGGAAGTTTCGACACCTTCTCTTTCTCATATACAACATTTGTTTTTACACCAAATGTTGGTAAACAAAATATTGCGAAGCCTTAATTGCTGTAAAATCATAATATTTTTGTTTTTTTTGTTTTCTTTAGTAATTTTTAACTTGAAATATATAAATAATATTTTCTCATATTTTTAATTTATATGCTAAATGTACGTACATATATATAAAATTAACAAAATTAGTTTCAATATTTTATTTGTTGAACGAAATAAATCGGGTTTTTCTTATGATCCTTATATTGAAACATTTGGAATATTTTCTATGAAATGACAAAAGTGTTATACCTTCATGCATGTAGCATAAAGAAAGGAATTTGAAAAATTATGTCCACATAATTAATTACATTTCAATTTGTTTCACAAACATTTATCATCGTTCATCCTTTATGCTACGGAAACAAACAGGAATTACACGCTTGATTAAATGCTTAACTAATACGGTTTCTTGAGATTTAAAATCTGAGTAAGCAATGTTCGTTCAATTGATTGAAGAGATTAGAAAATTTATAAAAGTTTTTCAAATTTCCATAGTATGTATTTCCTTAGGTCACCCTTCCTTCTTCATGTCAAGGCTATTATAAACGAAACACTATTATGATCAAAGGGTTGAGAGTTTTTGCAATTTTTCCATTTAGTAGCTTTTTTTTCTTACATTGGCAGCACACTCTTAACTCCTAATCTTACTACATTCTGATCACAGCTAACTAGCTAGCACAGTAGCTTTAGTCCTTATTACCCTGTACACCTGTAGATTAAAGGCAAAAAATGCATGGACAGACATCAGATGGACAGAAGGACGGACGGACAGATAGGTTCAGATCGGTATGATAAGAGACGAGTCTATCTAAAGCACTTCTGAGTGTTACATACGTCCACACAAATTTAGTATATCCTGTGTTACAAGTTGTGTAGAGTACACTAATGTATAATATTTGGCCTACTATGAGAAAAGAAGTTTTGTAGGGTATCCAACGTAGATTTTGCCTTACTATAGCATTCTTGGTTTTTTTTAAAAAACAACATTTACTAATCATATTGCAAATCTGAAACCTATCGGCATATATATATATACATATGTTTATGTTTATCAAAATACTTAAACTACGTGAAATGCGGTTTCGGAAAATCTACTTTTTGGATCATGTCAATTTCACGCACCCTCCTCCCCCCCTGCACCACACCACACGTCTTTTTATATCATAGCTGAACACATAAGGGATCATTTAAGCCATTAACAATAAATCACAATGATATATATATATATGTATGTCGTTAAAAGCGTTGCATACACGCTTTGCTATGCGGCGGATGGAAATGAAAATCTTCACGCATGTAATTAATCAGTTTTCTAATATTCGCACATAACTTGTGCATTCACGTTTGCAAAGGACTTAAATTCAGTCAAGTTTGTTTATCGACCGAACAACATGAGCGTATGACTTTTAAGAGCACTTAAACTCTATCATTGAGATGGAAAATTTCGTGGTTCCCGTTGATTTGGCAGATCAGCTATGAAGTACCTATGATACGCAATCATGGCAATCAAAGCTTTTCAACAAAGTCAACCCTTCATGGGTGGATACTAGGTTTCCGAATTTCAAGATAATCTACGATAAAAAAAAAACAAAAAAAAAAAATATATATATATACATATATATATATATATATATATATATCCGCCTGAGTGGCCGAGTAGGCAAGAGTCTCGATTAGCAACTACATGGTTGTGGGTTCAAATCTCAAGTGCGGTAGAGTTTTTAATAAAAAGCCGAAAGCCTTAGATGCTAGTGCTTTTAAGACTTTAGTCTTAGAATTTATTCTCTGGCTAAATTTATAATAAGAATAAGAATAAGAATAAAAAAATATCAATGAAAACTTTTTTCTCTTATACCGAATATGAGATTAAAAAAATGGGGAAAAAATCTATTGCTTATAATATTATCTATCAATTATTGGATATATATGGTTAAAGAGAATTGATATTTTGCATAATAATTATGCGCTTATCTACGTACATTTATATATATATATATATATATATATATATATATCTAAAAAATATTTCGAATTTTAATTTTATGCACAAAAAATAAATTATCAAGTTTGGAAGTTAAGTATCGCTTGGCTGAACTATTATGTTGCAGGAAGTTAACTAGAATGGAAATGTTTACTTAATAATGCTTTCAATTATAGCATATCTTTGTTGTGAAGTCTTACGTAAAGATTAAATTATATTTTGTGTAAATGACTAATGTGATTGTAAAATTTGACTTAAGATTGCAAAAATTTTGTACTTTTCACAGAAGAGAATTCGAAGGTAATTTTTGTGAAAAACTTCATATATGGAAATAATTTGATAACTAAACGATTTTCTATTTTTACTGCGGATGAAGATTCTATGAGAGCAATAAAATAAAGAGAATTTCTTCACAAGTGAACAAATTTCGTAAAAGAGATTATCGCGAATGCTATGATTAGATAC